AATCCTAGGGCTCTGAGGTAGATGGATAGCTTGACGGGTCCGTGCTGGGGATTCCAACCCGCCACCTTAGGTGTACGTGGCTGGCGCCTTAGCCGGTTGAGCTATAGGCGCCGAGCCTTTATATCCTTCTCTTGCCTGATTGCATTGGCTATAACTTCCAGAACTATTTTGAGTAATAGTGACAATAGTGGACATCCCTGTCTGTTTCTAGTTCAAAGTGGAAAGCTTTCAATTTTACTCCATTCAGTATGTTGTTAACTGTGGATTTGTCATAGATGGCTTCAATCAGCTTAAGAAATGTGCCACTGGCTTGGCGCCTGTGGCTCAAGTGACTAAGGTGCCAGCCACACACCTGAGGTGGTGGGTTCAAATCCAACCCGGGCCCACCAAACAATGATGGCTGCAATCAAAAAATAGCTGGGCATTGTGGCAGGCACCTATAGTCCCAGCTACTTGGGAGGTGGAGGTGGAGAATCACTTGAGCCAAGGAGTTGGAGGTTGCTGTGAGCTGTGATGCCATGGCACTCTACCCAGGGGGACAGCTTGAGGCTCAGTCTCAAAGGAAAAACAAAAAAGAAATGTGCCACCTATGTCTACTTTCATAAGTGTTCTTATTAGAAAAGGATGCTAAATTTTGTCAAATGCCTTTTCTGCATCTATTGAGAGTATCATTTGGTCTTTGTTTTTGCTTCTCTTGATATGATGTATTACACTTATGGATTTGCCTATGTTAAACCAACCTTGCATCCCTTGGATGAAGCCTACTTGATCATGATGTATGCTTTTTTTAGTGAGTACCTTCAATCTATTAGCTAAGATTGTGTTAAGTATTTTTGTGTCGATATTCATTAGTGAAGTTGGTCTGAAGTTCTCCTTTTTAGTTGGGTCCTTTCCTGGTTTTGGAATCAAGGTGAGGTTTGCTTCTTAGAACATTTTGGGGAAGGCTCCTTCTCAATATTTTGGAATGAGTTCTGCAGTATAGGTATGAGCTCATCTTTTAAAGGTGTGATTATGGCAGACTTAAAAGTCTAGTTTCCTGTTTTCTCCTCTGATCCTTTAGATTCATTAGTTCTTGGCAGAGAGCTCTGTGTTTGCATAGCACAGTTACACATACAATCAGAAGGTGTCCCTCTATGGATGAATTTGTGAAATGTTTTCCTTTGTCCTTTTGTAATGTCCTCTGTTTTAACTAACCATAGGGCTTGGATTTTGGGAAAGCCACAGCACTTCTTGATTCCTTATTTTTGTAAGCAGGACTCTTGCTTCCTGACCTGACTGTTCTCTCCATGTTGGAGGAAGGGAAAGAGCCCTGGGTTTCGGAGACTGAAGTGAAAACACCAAGAAATTCAGACTGGGAGGAATGGATCAAAGGTGTGCACTCAGGTAAGAGCTCAGGTGGGCACAGGGAAAGCCATACTATTACACAGTGTGTGGGAAAGTCTGCAAGTTGGGGGTTATGTGGATGAATAAAAGGTTAAATCATGTGAACTCTAAGCAGAAATCTTTGTTTCTTTTTACCACTCTGTTCATTAGACATAGAATAGTTTATTTCTTGCCCTCCAAGGGTGCTGTAGCTCATACAGAGACCAAGGCAAATTCTTTTTTTGAGACACAGTTTCCCTATGTCGCCCTTGGTAGAGTGCTATGACATCACAGCTCGCAGCAACCTCAAACTCTTGGGCTTAAGTGATTCTCTTGCCTTAGCCTCCCACTTAAGTAGCTGGGACTACAGGTGCCTGCCACAACACCCGGCTATTTTTTGTTGTAGTTGTCATTGTTATTTAGCTGGTCCAGGCCGGGTTCAAACCCGCCAGCCTGGGTGTATGTGGCTGGCACCGTAACCTCTGTGCTACAGGCACTGAGCTACAAATTCTTTATTTTATTGGATAAGACCTCTGTGACCTCTTTGGACTGCTAACTGTGTGACACAGGGAAGGCCATTTCCAAAGGGTCTCTTTCTCTTGTCCTGTGTCCTTCTGTATATCATTATATCTGGTGCTTGGTTCTCTGTCCATAGAGGTCAGAGATGAGACTGTGAAAGACTTGATGCCTTGACCTCTTCAGATTCCACCCAATTTCCTGTACTTGGAAAACCTAATCAGGGTATGGGAAACCAACAGCACATAGCTGTCTGCAGCCCTCTCTACCTGTTCATGTCAATATCAGATAAAATAAAGCCAAAGTGTTTTTCCTGTTTTCCCCTGCCACTCAACACAGAATGTCTCTCTTCTGATCAGCAAATTTTGTTAGGTTTCTCCCCACCAATAACCAAATTTTGGTGGCCATCAAAGGGTTTCCTGTACTTCATTTCTGACCCTGTCTACCTGGAGTTAGAGTCAGATCCCACAGGCTGAGGCTGCATCCTCAAGCCTGCTCCCCACCTGATATTCTACTTACAAGCCAGCTGTTAGTTGGAGGTGCTTTGAGACCCTGGTCAGGTATGATTATTTGCTACATTGGCTCAAAGATCTCAGTGACACACTTTCTGTGCCTTTGGTTTATTATAAGGGACATTTGAGAGGATACAGATGAACAGCCAGTTGAAGAGGCTCATAGGGCAAGGCTTGTTTGCTGGGTGCCCCACCCTCCAGGCACATCCATGTGTTCAGCATTTGGAAGTTCTCCTAACTCCACAGTGCTGGGGTTTTATGAAGGTTTCATCTTGGGATGATTGATGTTAACTCAGAATCCAACTCTGTCCCCTTGCTTAGGGATGAAAGTTTCAGGTTTCTAATGATAGCTTCTTCTTTCTGGTAACCAGTCCTACAGGACATCATAGTGGTGTCCTCATTAGAATATATGACATTCCTGTCACTGCAAAAATCCAGGATATTAGGAGTCTCTGGGAATAGACCCATATTATATTTCTTCTTATTTCACAAGGACCACTGAAGCATTCTTTAATTCTGCCTTTTTGTTTGTTTTAGACAGAGTCTCATGCTGTTGCCTTGGGTAGAGTGCCCTGGTATCATACCTTACTGCAACCTCAAACTTTTGAGCTCAAGACTTCCTTTTGTCTCTGCCTCCTGAGTAGCTAGGATTGCAAGTGTGTGTAACAACGACTGGCTAGTTTTTCTGTTTTTAGTAGAGACAAAGCTCATTCTTGCTTAGGCTGCTCTTGAACTGTGGAGTTCAACTCACCTGCCTCAGCCTCTCACAGTGCTAGGATTATAGGCATGAGCCACTGTGCCTATGTCCTTCAGTTCAGCTTTGTCCAGGAGTTACTGGGTAAGAGGGTACTGTATTGGTTATTCTGAGATTACATCTGAGCAAAGGGAAAACTCAGGACAGAAGGGTTCTGTGGATCCGCAGTTCCACATGGGGAGCATAGCTCACTGGAAGAGACTCCATCTCAAAAAAAAAAAAAAAAAAAAAAAAA